CGGATTTTCAGAGTTTTTGTCGGAATTGTTTTCCTTGCAGCTTGTTTAATTGCATCTATCAGATTAGTTGTTTGGTCTTCCGTTGTTACTTTTCGATTTTTATTTTGGTCTTAAGATTTTTTCACTGCTTCACTGTAAATTGTTGGTACACATTTTTCCCATTCTGTTTTATGCAGTACCTCGTTGCTGAAATTTGATGATTTTTTTAGTTGTTGCTTGTCAGCTTGAAGTGTTAAAAGAGCCTTGACTGGTACATGGGCTGATAAATTTATTGCATCTTGAGAGAAAGTTTGAATAGAGTGGATAAGGTTGCTATTTGATGACAGGATGTAGTCTATTTTAGATGTAGATTTTCCATTATGATGAAAGATAGAGTGTAGGTGATCATCAGTATCTAGTTGGTGTAGATTATAGTCTTTGGCAAACTCTTTTAATATTCTATCATGTTGGTTTTGTCTTGAATTGAGTAAGGTTCCGTTTAGGTCCCCACAGATTATGAAATCCATATAGCAATACTTTTGTATAAGAAATTTAATAATATCTAAATTTTCCCTATATTTTATTACTGAGTTTATATTTAAAGTTGGTAGGTATGAGTTGATAATACAAACTTGTCGATCTTTGGTCTGAAGAGATGGCAATAACTCTTTCGAATATAAGTAAGGGGGAGGGAAACCAATGATAATATGCTGGGAAGATCTTATTCGAACCTGTTGGAACTTTACCATATCAATTGAGTAAATATTAGAGGTTATTGAAAAATAAATCGTATCTTGCCATTGGTTTAAAAACATTTACGTCAAAATGACAATAAGTTATAACATGAATATTGATATATTTGAACTCTATTATTCTAAAACTAAAAGGTCAATACAGTTTTGTTTACTAGCTAACGCGTATTAATTACAGCCATGCACATGTTTAAATAGGGATCATAATAGGCATATATGATTATAAAATGGCAACATTTAAAAAAAAAGACCTTAAATTTATATGTTTCTGTTGTGCACATATTTTTGTACAATATTAACGAATTGATGACAGGTAATTTGCTTTCTAACTGCAATGCTCCCTTGAACGTGTCACCAGGTCGTTGTATTTCAACTGTTCGATAGTTCTTAACTTCTGTTACTCTTGAGTCAGTGATGATTATTTCATTTTTCGTCTTCATCTTTTATTGACTTTTCTTCTATTAATAAAAGGATGCACTATTTATCTATTTACAACAAAAGCGGCTTGTTAGTATGTGCTTATGACAGCACCTTAGACAACAGAATATTTTATTCCAGTTTTCTTTATTTTTAGGACCACTCTGTATTTGTCAATGTGAAATCATATAATATGTACATAAAAAAACATTATTGTGACTTTTATCATTAAAATATATTAAAGAGTTTATAGAAAAAAATCATAAGGGTTCCGCGGAACCCAGTGTCTCGTCTACTTTTGTTGTAAAAGTGTTATAGTAGCAGGCTCAACAAAAATGGGGAAAATTATTGATTTTCTTCCTCTATATACTATCTTTTTATTCTGTCCAACTGAAGTGTGGTTAAAATCCAGGATGGTTTGAATCTAATAAATGTTTTAAAAACTTTTAACTGCAGACTGTATGTAATGTTAACTGGAAGAAAACTAAGTCCATGTATACATAAGTAATATACGGAAAAACAAAAAATAAATTTTGATAAAATTTCCTTCTAGATACTAGCTTTTGATTATAAACAAGCTTCTATCCAAGTTTTAAAACTTTTAACACACAGTGAATGTAATGTTAACTGGCAGAAAATTTAAGTCCATTAATAAATAAATACGGATAAACAGGATTTTTTTTACAAAATTTAATTACTTCTGGATACTATCTTATGATCATAAACAAGCTTCCTTCAAATTTTGGTAGAAATCGATGATAGTTTTAGAAAGTTATTAAAATTTTAAAAATTGTAACCACAGATTGAATATTTGTGGACGCCGCAATGTAGGATCGCTATGTCTCGCTTTTGCGACAAAAGTCGCAGTCTTGACAAAAAGAAGATGTGGAATGATTGCCAATGAGACAACTCTCCACAAGAGACCAAATGACACAGAAATTAACAACTATAGGTCACCGTACGGCATTCAACAATGAGCAAAGCCGTAAATACATATATAATCAGCTATAAAAGGCCCCGAAATGACAAATGCAAAACGAGAAAACTAACGGTCTAATTTATGTACAAAATAATGAACGAAAAACAAATATGTAACACAGCAACCAACGAAAGCCACTGAATTACAGTCTCCTGACTTGGGACAGGCTCATACAGAATGAGGGGTTAAACATGTAAGCAGGGCTTTGGTAGAATATTCCAATATAAGAACAAACCATAAAAATCAGTTAAAAAAGGCCTCAACTCATCAGATGGAATCAAATAGAAATACATCTAACAAAAAACAGAATGTACTATCTATTATCCTTTCATTTATTTAATAAACAGGATAGATCCACCCTTTGACCACAACCTGTGATATTTTAATTCCAGGCGAGGATCCAGTCATTTTGAAAGGGGATTCCGACTCCAGGAACACTCCCTGTATCTACCGATGATTTCACGGGTTTCATTGTGTTTAGGTGGTTTTTTTTTCAATTTGAGGAAATAGGCAGTAGAATTATTTGTAGGTTTTCTTAGCGTGGATTTCAATTGTGTAATCTCAGCAGGCAGATGCATGTCATGCCGAAGTCACATTAGACCACGATCGCATCACGCTCACCGCGATCTAAAATAAATTCAGATCGTGGTGAGGTCGCGATAAGAGCGGCTTGAAATGTAGATTTTCGTTGTTTTCGCGATGCTACTACGTCCTCGTTACGCTTCTACAACGATCTTGCTACGATTATACCACGTTCTCACCACGCTTATTCTGCGACCTCACTACGATTACTTCGATCTTACAACGCTTATCACGTTCTCATAACGACCATATCAAGATTAATCCGATTGCAACACGATATTACCACGCTTCTTCTGGGATTATAGCACGCTCTTACCACGACCATTCTACGATCTTACCACGTTCATACCGCAATCTAACTACGCCCTCGGCAATAACGTCAACATCATGATCCATATCTACCAGAACTCGTGGGCGTGGTGGTCGGGGAAATGTAGTCAGAGGGGCCTCTGGTACGAATCCTGATCCAGTACAGATGTCGGATCAAGCAATCCAACCTGAATCACAACGTATTGCTGATCTATCCAGATCAACTGACGATATTTTATTGAACAAAAGTGGGAATGATACCCACGGGAAATGATACAGATGTGTAAAGCATGGTTGTGCTGTTGGATATTAGGGTCATGAGGTCCAAATTACATACAGACAAACAAAACATTGAGAGCTTTTATATATTTTATGTGACAATGACAATGAGCATGGCTAGAACTCGAAATGGTCGTAGTATGAACGTAGTCGGGTCGTAAGACGGTCGTGATGAGGACGGCATGAGCAGTGGCGGACCCAGACATTTTCATAAGGGGGGCCCACTGACTGCATGCCTAAGAGGGGGCCCGCTTCAGTCATGCTTCAGTGATTGCTTATATAACGGGCAACCAAATTTTTCCCACAAAAGGGGGGTCGGGCCCCCTGGTAAACCCTCTAAATCCGCCTCTGATAAGCGTGCTAGAATCGTACTCAGGGGCGGATCCAGCCATTTTAAAAAGAGGGGGTGGGGTTCCAACCATATGTCCCTATTCAAATGCATTTATCGTCCAAAAAAAGGGGGATTCCAACCCCCGGAACCCACGTCTGGATCAGCCAATGGTATTATGGTTTTGATCAGCGAAGTATAAACGTTGTATAGTCGTAGTAGAAGCGTTTTTTGGTCGCGGGGAGAGCGTGATGGTCGTAGTGAGGTCGTAATAACGTCGCTGTGAGATCGTAGCGCAATCTCTCGGACTAGATTCGCGCTTACGCTTCGCTCTCGCTACGATGGTACAGCGACCTTTGCGATCTTACCACGACCTTACTGCGCTCTCGCTACGCTTCTACTACGACCTGATTTCGGCACGACCCCACCGCGATTATTTTGAGCATGTTCAAAGTTGGCCACGCTCATCACGATCATGAAGACCTCACCACGACCTTACAGCGATCTTCACGATCGCACTACGATCGTCAAAATTTGAATTTTTTTCAGAGATCGTAGTGCGATCTTGGCCTAGTGGGACTGCGGCAAAAGGAGCACTATTAACACTTAAACGATAAGTCAAAAACTCAAATACAAACTGTATGTACATAGTTTGAAAAACCGGATACCCCACTTTACTTTATTTCGTGTCATTCTTTTTTTATGTTTTTGTTCCAAGAACAGAATTCAATCCCTCAAAACAACCAGCTAACTACTTTTTCATGTAGTATGTCTCTGCTTGAACATAACATATTGTGATTAAAAGCACCGAAAACAAATTTTCAAAAGTGTTGGACAGACTGAATATTCCTGGATCATTTGATTCAGTTTTATTTGTTCTTGAAAACTGGGACCATTTGTATTAAACCTAGTTGAAAATAATCCAAGTCAATATCCTATTGAGTTCTCATTCTAATTTTCATTGCCTTTGGTGGCTATTTTGAATTCTCTGTTGACCCAAAATAGTACCTATTGTGAATATGACTGTAATTGGCTGTTATGTTTAGTTTCAGTGAGTTGGCTGGTTTAAGAGGAAGCCTTGATGGTTGGTTATCTTGTCGGAATTATTTTACACTTTGTAATCTTTGTGTCTTTCATAGATTGCTACACAATGCCATACATAACAGTTTCTGTTACCTGTATTTTCTAACACTTACTTTGGTCTCTGGTGGAAAGTTGTCGCATTGGCTATTATACCACATCAACATTTTATATTGATACAGATCCAAGAAAATAGAAGCTACAAGTATCATTCTATTAAACAAAATTTCTGAGAAAGGCAATTCTGTACTTTTGGATATATGTTTTTTTTTAATTCTAGACAATTTCAGTCAACTTGAACTTTCACATAGACAGTTAATTTATATGTGAGCCTGTCTGTTTTATTTAAATGGTTGACAATATATCATTTATCCATTTCATATCCTTGTGACATTAAAATATTCTGAGCATACATGTAACATGACATGGGAAGAAAGATAGTCACACATACCAAATAGTTCTTATATTTGGGATATTACACGTGACTGTAAATACTAATATATATGTTAGTATTTTCATGATAACAGGTCTAATAACCACTTGACTTGGTTAAAAAAATTCTTGGATTCTATGAAAAGGAATGCTTTTCCTTTTATATGCAGCTTGAAAATGTTGAGTTGATGCCTATTAGCAATTTAAAGATCTGCCATGTCTGCTGTGCAGCTACATCTTGTTTCCTGGTATTTCAGAATTAATTGCATGCAGCCACAAAGGCCCAGCCCTGGTATTTTCAACATCTTTTCTGGTACATGTAGCTCATTTTTACCTGAAAAAGAGAAGAGTCATATAGATATTTTGATAATATAAATAAAGAATAAACAAAATTGGCATGTAATTATATAAAGATCAGTGGCAGATCCATAAATTTTCATAAGAGGGGACCCAGTCATGTTTCAGTGATTCTCTATATAATCAACCAAATTTTTCCAACAAAATGGTTGGCAGCCCGCTGCCCCCTTTCTAAATCCACCTCTGAAGATAAAATTGTCTTATTGTTACTGCTGATTCATTCAGTACTATTAACAAACAAGTCCATTTGCCTTGCTTATGTACTCAAATGACAAAAAAAAATGTTTTTTTTACTGAAATATAGAACTCTTATAAATGTTTGTCCATTCACTGATAAGCTGATACGTCATTTCTGATAATTATATCATACATGTATATGTACTTACACCTTAAATTCAAACAGTCTCTGTATGTACATGTATCTCTTTCTTTCCATTTCACATACCTCTGCAATAAGAATAGCATCTGCAACAACCAAAATTTAAAGGTGTGAAAAAAAAAATTGAAATTTTCAAAGTGCAATAATATCAAAACAGTAAAGATAATGAATATTAGAGATTAGCCATTTTGCACATATACATGTACCAAGGGGAAACTCCTTTCAAAGCTATATTTTATTTATTGTTTCTTTGCATTAAATAGAAAATAGGGATAATGTGGCGCAAAAAGCATATACGATTTTTGAAGAAAATTCACAGACTTTATACAGAGATTTTCGTTATAAAATTTATAACATAGATTACTCACTTGTTTGTCCATGATGTGCTAGCGTTTGTTATTTACAAAAAGGCCTAAACAACCTTTAAATTCTAAAAAACCTTGTGCTGAGTCACTAAAGTCAAGTGCACCCTAGAAGGTGTACTTGAATTGGTCCATATTTATATTTGTCCTAACCAATATTTTGATTTATAAACTTGTCCTAAGGAAATCATTGCTAGCACTGCATGCAATAATGCTCTATCTATCAAGCATAGAATGGTCAAACATTAGAGTACAAGGGAACGGCTGGATTTTCTTTAAAATTTCCATGTTTAGCATTGAAACAACAAAATGGTACATAATCCTTAAAGAGCTCTAATTAAGAGCTCATGGTCCTTGTTATTGGTATTTATATATGCAACCGACTTTAAATAAAGATTACTTTGCTATACTTTACTTAAATGACTATGAGACAAACTTTTCATATAGTCAAGACATATTGTCTCATTGGCACTCATACCCCATCTTCTTTATATATCTATATACAAACTGTATATTATTTCAAACAAAGCTGTCCAGTCTTTTGTTTTTTTTATGGTCATGATCATGGATTAAAAAAATATGAGTAAATATACTTAAAAGTTTATAGGCGGATCCAGAGGGGGGGGGGGGGGGGCTTGGGTCAGTCAGTGGGCCCCCCTTATAAAAAGTTCTGGATCCGAAACTGAAAATCACTTTGGTTGCCTATATGAAAGGAGCAATAATGCTTACCATGTGCAAAGATTTAATATTGACCTGACAATTAAACAATGACTGAGAGTATACAACAGTACAACATGGTACATTTTTGTAAAAAATATACATGACTATATCAAGCAATGACAATGTAAATTATATAATAAAATCTAGGGTATTATTCACTTACATTCTGCCAACACTTAAAGTAGGAACTATTTCTATGTTTCGTCATGACTGTGAGGTAAACAATTTCTGAGGAGGTGTTTGATTAGCATATCAATAGAACAAACAACAAGGCCTAAAAAAAATATCTGTGTTTCCGGTAACATCATTTTGAAAAATAGGGTCGGTAGGTCGGATTTTTTTTTTTTTTTTTTTTTTTTTTTTTTTTTACATTTTAAACGAAATCCGGAAAATTATCATGGTTTTTCCAAGTCCGGGTCCGTAATTAGTTTCTAATACCGGAAGTTTCTTGGTTTTTAACCTATTTGGAATACCTTTTGACATAAATAAAATGTTTTACTGGCTTTCTGTGCCAGTAGAAGCAAGTTAGATAAATAATTATGTCGATTAATAGAAGCCTGTGTCAAAAACAGGGTCGGTTGATACCATTTTTTTTGAAGATCCAATAAAAAAATTAGGGTCGGGGCTAAAAAAACAGGGTCGGTCGGGTTACCGGAAACACAGATTTTTTTTTTTTGGGCCCAATGTCAACATGCAACTGCAAACTCGTTATTTTGTTGATTGATTTTATTTTTGTCATTCAATATCGAGTAGTAGAACTTTATACACAATTTGTTATGGATAATATGTCAAAAAATAGAATAGTTTATCTTTTTTATTTCATTTTCTTAAAAAAAGTTGAAATCGCAAGTATCTTGCGATTTCGTTTCAATAATTTTCAATAGCACAACTTTTTGGTCGTCTGGTTACAATAGTTTTTACAGTGCGATTATTATTGTCATATAGATAGATCGCAAGATCATGTTATGAAATATTATGTGGCAGACTTACGTGTCATTCTGATATATACGATCCGCTAAATCAACCTTTTTGTAAAAACACAAAACTCGGTCTTTCCCTCATAAACATGGCGGTTGCATTATAGTAAGGAGTTGTTTCTCCTTACTGGTTAAAAAATAGCTAACGGAAGTCGAAGAGAATCTCTCTATTACGTCACGCAACACGGGGAATACTACAGCATGCTGTAGAATGTGGACTGGTTCTTCCTATACAAACTAACGGCACTACATCCGCCCCATTCCTGTAGAACCAGACACATTCTCAAACTATAAAAGAAACTCAAAAACAAAATAAAATAAACGTTGTAAACACGTTGGTGTCAATTAGCTTGGTAACTTGAACGATCCTTGTGCAAGTCATACAATAACGCAATAAATTGATGTATATATTTACACATATGAATGTCAACACCTTCTTGGTAGCAATTAGATATGTACAAAATCTAAGGATGTCCGGCGGAACCAACTAACAGGGCCTAGGGCCCCAGATAGCTGACTCTGGTTTCGGCTTTGGCATACCATACAATTTTAGGGCGTTGTCATTGGTTATCCAGTTCAAAATGTTTAGTGGGACATAACGCCTCTCACTTACTGCTATCGCAACCTCTCTAAGATTCCATGGATGGTTTACTGCACAACAGGACCATGGCGATAGAAACGGAGCATCTGTTTCAAGTACCAGCTGTTGAGGCAAGATTCGTGATATCGCATCTGTGTTGTATGTAGCTCTTGCATCTTTCAAAAACTTGCCAGTGATCCCAAATACTACATTAGGAAGGCGTTGCCACTGTCTCAACTCCTCAACACCTCCGTCGAAACAATGGCGGTGGTACTTCAAGTTGGCGAAGCCCCCGCGGATTATAGTAAGCACACGGGCTGCTGCCTCTCCACTTCCCCCATCGCGACAATGCAGTATGACTGGCATTTGTCGGCGCAGTGCAATTTCCAACATTTGTATAAGTGCCTGCTCTTGGCATTCCCTCATTCGCTTCTTGCACTGTTCTGGGGTATTGCATCTTCTGCAGTCACAGCGGGTGGTAAAATCAAGTCCAATCTCACCAACATCAACACATTTGTAACTTCCCAGTAGGTACTCAAGATCTTCTAGTTGCTTTGTCGTGACTCCCTTTGCAGCAATATGCGGGTGAATCCCAAAGGATACGTAAACAGAGTGATCGACTCCAACTTGTACAGCCCAGTCATTCCAGTGGTTGGGAAAAACATAGTTTGCGACCCCATAGTAAAAAGAGTTGTTGTTCTCTGCTGGGGAGATTTCAGAACTCATATGTAGAAATGTTTTAAAATGAAGCCGCATCAACACCAAATCCAAATGAAAATGGCTATCCACGAATAAAAATGGCTCTGATGGTGATGGTACCGGGACTAAAATGAGACTGCCCTCATATGTAAGGTAGCCTCCGGGTGTCATCAGGGACTGCTGTTGTGCTGGGCCCACTCGACGTAGTAGACTCGCCATGATCTCCCAATTTGTAAGGCTAATGACGTGGTTTGGAGGGTTGGCGGTGATGTAAGATAGCCGATCAAGGCTATAGTTCTGGGCGTAGTACACCAAGAGTTGCTGTTCCTGATTATTGAATCCACTGTTTGCATTTTCATACAACCTCCTGTCAATGACATATTGCAGGAGACTATCAAGATCGTAACAATCAAACCAGGACTTGACTCGATGGAGACAGGCGGTTACCATTTGGCACCATAGGTGTAGATGCTCTTCGTCAAAGAGACATCCGAGTCTATGTTCCTAGGCGTGCCGTAGAGCCAAGGACGACGCCTGTACTTCCTGCTAGCTACATTCCCAGCATGCAGTTGAGCCAGACCAAAACAATGGCAGATGTGTCTTCATCATATGCCCACGCGTCTTTTCCCTGGACATCAGTCCACATACAGGACACTTACGCAACCGACTCTTAGATGGCACTATGGCTGTGCAGTCTTCTGATTGGCCTTCAATTGTCTCACCTGCTCCTGGTTCATCATGATAGGAGGAACTCATTGGTAACATACCTGTTGCCATATTGCTGTATCCTTCAGCAGGGCCTAGGGCTCCAGGAGAAGCATCAGCAGTTGCATCACTGTCATCCGGACCAACTTCGTCGAGTACTATTAGGTCCGCCACGTCAAGATCGGTACAGTCTGATTTAGTCTCATGCCACTCGCTGTGCGGACTTAGTGACAAGACATCCTGGTCTGAACAAGACCCCTCTTCCATCCTGGAATGAGAGGAAATCAAAACATAACATGATTAGAAGCACAATTAGCGAAAATGATGCACATATATTATTAAGTAAGAACATGCAAAAATAAATATATACATATATACATTTGAAATTATCCCACACAATACCTATTCTGTTTGGTACCGTAGTGGGCATCTGATTGGTCTACTATACCTAGATGTGTACTCAGAAGACGGAAAGGCCGAGGGCCTCGTCTCGTCATCTGTGCTGCTGAGTTTGGCATTTACAATGTCCCCACTGTAACCTTTATCCGAACTTAAAATTTCCCCCAGGTCTAAAGTTGGAGGTTCATCAATGCTATTAGCATCTAAAGCGGTAACTGTATCACACTGGGGCCCCTGTTCCAGTTCTTGTGTCAAAGGAGTATGGGTATAGGACGGGTCACCTAATGACTGGGGTAAAACAACGCTATCAAAAGTGGACTGATTTGAGTCGAACATGCCCTGAACATTAAAGTCAACACCATATAGGGTATTGTATCATCAAGATCATCCCAGCTCTCATCCATTTCACTTTCAGCTTGGAATAACGCATGCCTAAGTCTTTTGATCCAAGTCGGGATATCCCTATCGTTGCAAAGTTTCAACTTGTCATGGTGCACTACTGAGTCTCCTTTTCTTCCTCGGATAGTGTACAATGGGGGTCGACTAGACACGACAAGAAACGGTCCACACCATGGTGATTTCAGCTTCCTGCTCTGCCCGACTTTTGTAGTTGAGTCTGCCTTGTACA